TCTGTTTTTGATCAAAACAGTGGTATATGCAATTTTGGTATGCCACAAATGATACATAATTTATTAAAGCATATATTTGCCTCAAAAGAAAAAAATACAGTGATCACATACGCATTTTTGGACTTCTGATGTAACTGGCCAATTTGCCTTCCAGGAAAGCTTTTTTAAAATTAACTATTTACAAGTGTTTAAAAAAAAAAAACTTTACAATCAGCAATCATAAGCTTGAATCCTTGCTGTTAAAAATTAGGAAACAATTATCTTCTTGTAATTGAGTAAGTTCGTTATAAAATTTTAGTTTGTTGTTGCAACGTAGATAGTGTTGGTCGAGGGGGAAAAAGAAGAGACTGACACTGTGTTTTCACATGAGGATGTTTTTAAAAGTTCATAGAAAATTGGGCTGGGCACAGTCACCTAGTAGTTAAAGTCCTTGCCTTGCACACACTGGGATCTCATTGGGCGCCAGTTCCTGTCCCAGCCAGCCACACTTCCCATCCAGCTCCCTGCTTGTGGCCTGGGAAAGCAGTCGAGGACAGCCCAAAGCCTTGGAACCCTGAACCCATGTGGAAGACCTAAAAGAAGCTCCTGGCTCCTGGTTTTGGATCAGCTCAGCTCCGGTCGTTGCAACCACTTGGGGAATGAATCATCGGATGGAAGGTCTTCTTCTCTGTCTCTCCTCCTTTCTATGTATCTGACTTTCCAATAAAAATAAGTAAATCTTCAAAAAATCATAAAAATAGAACTGAAAGACTAAACAGTGCATAAAATTTTTAAATCAAACATACAAAAACTCATGAATATGCATATTATGAAAAAGTTATGTGGTGATTTTTAAAATGCTTGTAGCAAACTAAATTTATCCTGGTTTGCCTTTTTCCTTGATTTTTGAGGAACATTCTGACACATCACATGCTTGCTAGCCCCAGCTAGCTAGTCTTGCCCATTCCTCTTTCAATTTCTGCCTGCTGGCTATCATCTTGGGTTTACACTCACATATTTGGACTCCAAATAAAACACCCCTTACTCAAATGCAGAACATGCAGGAAACATTCATACAATGAACTCTATCAACTCTTGTTTTCTCTTACCTGTTGGCACTGCCTATGAAAATGTGCAATTAAGAAAAAAACATGGGAGCCAGAGTTGTGGCATTGTGCATTAAGCTTTCTGCCTATGCTGCTAGCATCCCATATGGACAACATTCCTGTCCCAGCTACTCCACTTCCATTCCAACTCCCTGATAATGTACCTGGAAAAGCAATGGAAAATCACCTAAAGGATTGAACCCCTGCATCCATCTGGGGGCCTGGAAGAACCTCCACGCTCCTGGTTTCAGAATTGTCCAGCTCTGACCTTTGCAGCCATTTATGGAGTGACCCAGTGGATGGAAGGCCCCTCTGTCTCTCTTCCTTTCTCTATAACTCAGCCTTTCAAAAAATAAATAAATACTCAAAAATGTAAGAATAAAACATAAAATGTTTCATTGGCTAACAATATTTATCAAGAAATCCTATAACCTAAGAGGATGGAACTATGTAATGTCAGATGCTTTCTTTTTCCATAAACACAAAAAGTGATTTAGCCACAATAAAAGATTAGAAAACAATGCAGCAATTCAAAATAGGAATCTCTAACACTTCTTGGACAATGCCTTTCCTGAATGCTTTACATTTCATCTCCACCTGAGGGAGGGCAATGGTCAGTCCTGTTTCCATTTTACAAATGAAGAGACTCAAGCTCAGAAAGTAACCTGGGCAAAAACCCTCAGAGCATATGACAACAATGCAATCTGAACTCTGACTGGTCTGGCTCTATAAACCCTAGTGTCTGGTCCACAGCATTGAATTATTAAACAGAGTGTCTATGTGGTATCAGCTTTATACACTTTGGGTCTTCCACACCCAATCACTACCAAAAATAAATTGGGAGGGACAGGAGTCGCGGCACAACAGTATAAGCTGCCACCTCAATATATGTACGTCCCATTCATAAGTATGGTTAGAGTGCCAGTCACTCTGCTTCTAATTCAGCTTTTTGCTAAGTGCACCTGGGAAGACATGGGATAATGGCCCACGTTCACCCATGTAGGCAACCTAGACACAGTTCCAAACCCCTGGCTGCAGTCTAGACCAGACCCAGGTGTGGTGGGCATTAGAGTAATAAACCAATTTATGGAAGTTCTTGTTCCACTCTTTCTCCCTCCCTTTCAAATAGATAAATTAAATATATAAAATTTTAACAGATATTTGAAGAAATTGTGTCTCTACTGAAAATGTAGACTTTTGCTTTAATTTTCTAAACAATACTGTAAAATAACCATTTACACACATATAGCATTGTATTAGGTAATATAGGTAATCTAAAGATGATATTAGATACATTGGGAAGATGTGTGTATACAAAAATAATACACCATAAGGGACTTGAGCATTCCGAGTTTCAAGTATGATAATCTTGGAACTAATCCCCATGGATACTGAGGAGCACCTCCAACACACCAGAATTTTAGCATAAGTCACACAAAAATATCATTTAACCAAACTATGCTGTAGTATATTTAAAATAGTGCTTTGGTTTCTCATATTTTTGCTGTCAACCCCGCTAATGGCACTGTGAAAGGAACACCCCTTGAAATACTATTTAAAAACAAAGGATAAGACCCCAGTACTGTTGCCTGTCACCTACAGAGAGTTGACTCACACAGATGTACAGAGATTCCAGAAAGGTCCTGCAAAGCAACTGTTTTCCAGGAAGAACAGCAAATTTTGCCATTAACAAGTAATAGCCAAAGACAGCAACAGACTTTTGTAGGGAATTATGGAGTACACAGAGGTCTACTACAGCTACAAGATTTTATAATAAAATAAGCTTAGCCTTGATGAAGAAAATGATAACATTTTCATTAATTTAAAACCATAACCTTTCCACACTGGCTTTTCTCTTATGCCTGGCTACAGACCAAACATGATTTAGACAGTTGCCTCTGTCTGCTAGAATAGTTTGAATTCTTATTATAATGGTTAAAAGTGGCAGGAATAGAACTATAGTGTAGCACAGAACTAAACTATAGAATAGAAGAGGGTGCCAGCTAACTTTTCTCTACTTTAAAATATCAGCTGATTACTGTCCTTAGTGGCAAAAATAATTTTTCACTATGACCACACACTTTAACTTCTGTGTCATGGACTGGCCTCTTTTTCCATCTACAGTTTATTGCATCTATATTTGGATTTCTGGACAATCTTACAGAAAATTTTCACATGAAACGAAACTTCTCTGGAAGATTCTAAATCTACAAAACTTTAAATTAGAAAGTCACTTCATATATTAGTCTCAAAAATTGTGTGTTCTTTAGACATTATTACCTGTAAAACTGTTAGAGAAATAATGTTTAAATTTATTTTTAAAAACCTGTTACATCGCTAAGAGTTGTTAATAAATATCTTTTTACATGACCTAAAAAAATTACATTTCCAATGCACATAAAGAAAATTTGAATGTGACAACTGGTGGAAAAATACAAAAAAGAAAAAAAAAGTAAATGACTCTATCCAATAGAAGAGAAAGAAAATATAACACTAAAAAGCTTTATTCCTCCCTAATCTGAAAGCAAGCTTTAGCAGGCCTGTTTTGGGCACAGAAGAGACATTTTAGGAGAATTTCATAGCACAACGAATAGCACATATGAAGAAATTGGTATTTCAACAAATGTGAGTTTCCATGAAAATATGAGTTCAAGGAGTAATTGACAGTTTTTGGAAAAGGGGCTGCTCAGAAATTATCTAACTTTTTGTGTGGATACAAGTGCCAAAAGACAACTGTTTCAAAGTAGGCTAAATAGATATACCCAATACTGTACTTATATTTTGTTACTCTATATTCTTGGAAAACGGAAAGAAATGAACTCTTAATTCACAGTAAGTGTAGATTTACTGCCCACATTGGAAAGATGTTCCTCCACTGTTAGCCACCACTGTACTTCATAATATCCAGCAACCAAAGGGAAAGTTTGTTCTGGAACTATATACTTAAACACTGAGAGATTAAATATGTTCTTACAAGGCTCTATCTGTAAGGGAAAGAGGCTAAAAATTCAGATTAAAAAAAAAACCTTTAGGAATTAGCTGTACATCTCAGTGTTAAAAGTCCTGTTTAAAACCACTCAGAAAGAGTCACAGGCTGGAAAATCTGTGCCAAGAACTGTTTTTGGCCACTATTCCTATTTTAGTAGTATTCGCAACACATCTTTTATTTCTCCTTGCAGTATTTTTGTCTTTCTCTAAAACTAAAAGTTAAACATATCAGTATTTGAAATTGTCATATACTATGCAATTTTGCTACATAATTAAAAAGTGAATTTTTTTTCTACAAAACACAAGGAAGACTTAGCACGCCATTTGCCACATATGTGCACATAATAAACAGTAACAGATGTGTAGATAACCAGACCTGCGAAAGAAGTCCTCATTATTTGTCAACTTCTAACACCCATTCATCAATCCCAGCTCACCCATTTCTTCTTTGTGCTGATTTTGGAAACAGCTGTTACGGTTACTATTCAGTCCATTTCTTTTCTATGAGTGTGGCCCAACTTTAAACAACCCATGGAGCCACAACCTTTTCCTTAACTGAGAACTATATTAGGGTGGAGAATTTACTTCCCTGACCAGTGGACAGACTGTGAAGTAGAGTAATGGAGGTAGGACGCAACAAGGAGGGCTGCAAAGTGCAGAAGCTAACTGGACAGCTCACTGTGACGTCCCATTTTTCATCAGTTCCAGCCTGGCTGATGCTCATCAAACATGTACTGTGTGTGTTACAATAGTTACTTGAGCTCTGGGGGTTAAGTTTACTCTTGAGCCTAGATGTTTAGGTGGCAGGGGTGAGAGAACCAGGACAAATCAAGGAGAAGCCCAAAATACTGATTCACAAAGCCCATTTCTTAGTTATATTGAGGCAGTGCAGACACGAGAGAACAAGCGCCAGCAATTTTAATTTAGTGATTCTGAATTACTAAAATATTCTTACTAAATTGGAATGATACAGATTAGCATGGCCCCTGCACAAGAATGACAGTGTATCCTTTCAGGGATAGTGATAAAATCACAAAAACTGATAGGAGTTACTTATTCAAGGACAAACACTTGGGTATTAAAATCTGACATGCAAGGATAAAAAGCAAAGCAAAAAATACATCTAACCTTCTGAATATATTTCTGTTATATATAAGACATGGCTGCTTTCTTGTTTGCCTTTAATCCTTCTTTACCCACGATCTTAATGAAGAGAGGGGCAACATCTTCACAGAAACCAGTAGGACCCAATGAGTATATTTATCTGTATCTTAACAAGTGAAAAAAACATACAAATTGGTTTGAAAATGTCTAATTTAATAGAATTTCTCCAAAGGTCCTAATTATTCTTCATGTGGAATACTCTGGATCTATATTTAACTGTAAAAATGGTCCACTGTTTGACCTTGGGCAAGAGAACAGCCAGTCACATTTCCTGACATGTCATGCTTCAAATAGAAAATGCCTGAATAACTCAACACATTATTGCTAAAGTTTGTTTTTATCTAATAAGGTTTAAAAGGACAAGGAAGAATAAAGGGGAATCCTGCAGATATTAAAAAATCAAATCCATTAATTCTAAATGAGGTGCTGTTAGACCTAGGTGCTTTGTCAGGTCTCAGCATCTGCTGCAGGGTGACATTTTTCTGATACATTATGTCAATGCATATCCATTCTGATTAGGTTATTTACAGATGCTTCTAACAACTGTCAGAACTGTCACTTAAATACCAACAAAACCAAAACACTGAGTCCATCATTCATTAATGCATTCCTTAATTCGGAACTGAAGTGTCAACCTGTCACGATGCAATCAGCTACACAAAGCCATTAAAAAAAAAATCTCCTGCCTGAAATGTTTAATAAAGAAATTCCATTGCACTGGCCAGCTTTTCATTAATATAAAGAAATATCTAACATGAGCTACTAATGAAGGATGAGATTTATTCTGGCTATGGTTTGCAAGGATCACAGCTGAAGTTGAGGTGCAGCTGGAGGCTGGCATGGCAAACAGCTCTCAGAGGACAGAGCATATGGGGAACCCAGAGACAAAGACACCAGGAGCACACTTTTCTGTCATTCTTAACCAGCCACATTGGGAGAACTGCCCTTTGAGGTACAACCCAAACACCTCCCACGGGGGCCCTTTCTCCCAAACCCTTTACTTGAATTGTGTTTTCATCTCTCTTATGACTTAATCACTTTGGGGACCAAGCCTTTCAGATATGAGTCTTTGGGGGACACTCAAGTTAAAATTAAAACCACAGCAGCCATCGTCTCCATCGCGTGTGGTAAATTCAATCTGGGAGTGAAGTCAGTGGCTCAACACAAATACTCAGATTCTCCTTCCCAGGGTCCCACATGCAGCGCAGGTGCTTCTGCACTCCTATGACTAAGATAGTGAAAAAAGTTATCCTGACAGTAGGATGCTGAACTCTCTGCCATTGTCCATGCCCAATGTCAGGAAACACTTTAATAGTGGAATGATGGACTTATGACTAGTCATAAAGGAGTACCCATTGTAATACTAGAGGGGAAATCAGAGGAGTGGGAAGGGACTTGAGAAGGGGAGGGAAAATCCTATGGAGCTGTATCATTAAATAAATAAATAAACTTTTAAAAACAAAGTCCAGGATCACATGTAGCAATCAATTCCCAGCTAAAAATCTAATTTTTAAAGATTTATTTTTGTTTGAAAGGCAGACTGAGTTACAAAGAATAGAGCACAAACAGAGAAATCTCCCATCCGCTGGCTCACTCCTGATATGGTCACAAAAACCAGGGTTGGGGCCAGAGTAAAGCCACAAGTCTGGAATTCCATACAAGTCTCCTACATGGGTGACAAGGCCCAAGATCTCAAGCCATCTTCTGCTGCTTTTCCAAACACATTAGGCGACACTGGATAGAAAGTAAAGCAGAGGACACTTGAACCAGTGCCTATTGCTGCACTGCAATTCCAAACCCATTCAAGTCTTGTTTTAATATCTTTTCTTTTTTTCCTCTTTGTCCCCCAGAGAACTTCCCCTCACACATCAGAACTGGGTAACACGCTGTGTCCTATACTAATCACTAGCTGAAAGAAAGGAACCAACCACCCACTCACTGGGAGAAAGTCAGGCCTAAACGCCCTGAAGCCCAAACCACTACAGTGAAGGGGAAGAAACCAGAATGAGAATGGACCGAGGACCGACAGAGCATTAGTGTCTGCCTGAGCTTTTTATGTGCCTTTTACTAAAAATGTAGTACAAATCTAGGATCTTTTCCAAAATGCTTGGAACCCAGAAGCGTTTCAGATTTCAGAAGTGCTTCAAAAGTGTTTCAAATTTTTCCAATTTTGAAATATGTGTGTGTGTGTGTGTGTGTGTGTGTGTGTGTGTGTGTGTATCTTGGGAATGGGTTTAAACATCAAATTAGGTATATATATATATATATATATACACACATATACATATATGTGTATATATATATACACACATATACATATCCTGAAAGTAACTTTACACAAAATTTTAATAATTCTTGGGCATGGAACAGTTTTTGATATGGGATTTTTCTTATTTTTCTCTTATTTTTCTCTTATTTTTCTCTTATTCATAACATCAGTGCCCAAAAATATTCAGATTTTGAACCACTTCAGATTTTCGATTAGGGATGCTTAATATACATCTACTTTTTGATCAATTAAAAATAAGAAATTAGGGGCCCAGCTCTGTAGCCTAGCAACTAAAGTCGTCACCTTGCATGTGCCAGGATGCCATATGGTTGCTGGTTCTAATCCCGGCAGCCCCACTTCCCATCCAGCTCCCTGCTTGCAGTCTGGGAAAGCAGTACAGGAATGCCCAAAGCCTTGGGATCCTGCACCGTTATGGGAGACCTGGAAGAGGCTCCAGGCTCCTGGCTTCAGCTCTGGCCATTGCAGCTGCTTGGGTAGTAAATAAACAGATGGAGGATCTTCCTCTGTGTCTCTCCTCCTCTATGTATATCTGACTTTCCAATAAAAATCTTTAAAAAATATGAAGTTTGGAACATGCATTTCTTCCAACAGTTAAGTCACCATGTAGGAAACCTGTATGTCATATTACATGCTCACTTCAAGTTCTAGCTACTCTACTTTTCAATCCAGTTTCTTGCTAATACATGGCTGGGAAGCATAAAATGGCTCAACTATTTGGATCTCTGACACCCATGTGGAGACCTGGATGGGGTAACAAGTTCTACCTTTGGCCTGGCTCAACCGTATCCATGCAGGCACTTGATGAGTGTGACGAGTGAACCAGTGGATTCCTCCTGATTCATTCTCGCCCTCCCTCCGTCTTCCTGTTCTTCTCCATCTGCAATATGGATATGGACATGGGATTGAGTCCAGTTGCTCCACTTCCAGTTTGGCTCCCAGCTAATAAGCCTGGCAAAACAACACAAGATGGCCCAACTGGTTGGATCCCTGCAGCCATGTGGCAAACCTGGAAGAATCTTCTGGCCTTTGGCTTCAGCCTGATCTAGCACCAGGCATTGCAGCCATCTGAGAAATGAACCAGCAAATGGAAGATGTCTTTCTCTCTTTATTTAAACCTCTACCTCCATTTGTATAAACCTGCCTTTCACATAAGTAAATACAGTTTTTTTTTTCAAAAAAGCACATCAATAAAAAAAAGTGTCTTGCCAATTTAAAAATAACTATCATACATGGATAAATATAATCATATTTATAAACCAAATTTTTCCTAAAATACTTTGTTGGAGAGCAAGTAACAAAAGTGTGAAGTGTCTTTCTCTAAACCTTATTATGCTAAGTCTGTTTAAGTAAAAGCTGCTAGGAACAAAAATCAATTGGCAACCATAGCTCCCTGGTACAAAACACAGAACTGGTACGGGCAGATGCGCTGTCCTTTACAGCCAGAATCAAGGCAAAATAGTAACCTGCATCACTACTATCACTCAATGATAGATCAAACAGAATCATAATTTATGCATTGACAAACTCTTCTCTCAGTCAGTTATTTTATATAAAATATGTTAAGCAAGGTAAAAGAGCAAAGGAATTGCATGGGATAATGAAAATGGATGCCCAGAATTTAAGGGCAAATAAGTTATAATCTGTACCTCTTCAATCCTTATTATCCCTTTGGTTTTACCAGAACAAGTGTTTTTGCAGAAATAGGGATCCTTGATAATAGACGACCATTTCTTAAGGTATCAGTGTCCAATAGACCAATAAGAAATTATAAACAGATGTCCTATTTACCTAAATGATTTTACAATCCTGGTCTCTCCATCCTCACTCCTTGTTTGAAGTCTATGGTCTTCCATGAAAATATTTTTCCCAAATAACCCTCCACCAGCCAAGTAGGAAGTCCAGGCTTTCCAAGGGAACCCTCAGATATTTCATTCATAATTTAACAACATTTTATAGAACAGATTTTCTAACTGTTTTTTCTCACATCTAAAAGAATTATGTTTAAAAGTTCTTACCTTCACCTACGTATTTATACACATAAATCACACCCATAAACATACAAAAACACCTGACATATGTATATCATATAAATGTGGATTTTACCCATTAATCACATTCCAATTTCAGAAAAGCACTAGAAACCATGCAAATCGTTCTTAACCATCAAAAGGGCATCCCAAAGTTAGAACATTCAAGAATATTCTTGCAGTTAATATTCTAATCTGACTAGCACTGCTATTAACATTACTAATATTTTGTAACCCAGTCACTGTGCTAAGTACTCTCAGAATATTAGTAAGTATTGATTAGTGTGGTGGAAAATTTATCCAGAGGCAATTAGGCAAGGCAATGGACTAATCTGCCATCACTTTTAGCAAATGGGTAGGTCTTCTGCTACTAGCTTCCTATACCTTAATGGCTTGGTTGGACTTGGCATTTCAAGAGTTTCCTTCATATAGTTTCATCCTTCTTTTTATTTGGAACTCAATACTTACTTTCACATATTGTAAAACACACTCAAAACCAAAAGGTATTAGTTCGAAAAGTGAATTATTACTATATCATTTGAACAATGACGCATAATTTGTCAATTAAATTTATCACTCAGCAGTGCCCCTTTAGTGTGTCTAACATAAATCATAAGGTTTGAAACAGGCCAACAGATGGCTGAATTTTCAAAATAATGTAAGTCACAGCTGCCACTTTGTGTTAGCATCCAGATTAATAGCTGATACAAATGCAAAACTACAGTAAGCCATTGCTAAGATTAATTTTCTCAGCTACTTATCCTGAGGCTTCCTCTAACTAAAGCAGATGTAAAGAAGCTGGGCAATTCATTTATCAGTTACTTTTCATTTTTATTAGGGGAATATCACAATGAAACTTCAAAGATTTTCTTCTCAGAAGACATATTCCGTCAAAGGAGCATACAAAGAATGAATAGATTACAAAAATGAACAAGATTTGCCTTAAAAAATGTACATCAACAGCTCTACTTTCTAAGGAACATTGCATTCTTTGATGAGGTGACATAAGTCCAGTTAAACTACCTGGTACTGGTGTTCTTCTTTTACTCCAATAGATCCCCTTTTCACACTTACTAATACACCATTCAAATGAAAAATTACATGATCACCAATTTCTCTGTCATAAATAATAGTCCTGCTCAGTTTTACTAAATTACATGATAATTTTGAACAGAGAAAATTCCCAAAGCCTTCAGGAGTGGAACAAAGGTGTACATTTCCCTCAGAGGATAAACCAATTTTTCATAGTTTTTCTTCTAATACACTTCAATTACATTCACCTTAATTAGCCTAAATAGACATGAAATTTTCTTAATCATCTCCCTGTCAGCCTGTTTAAAAGAAAACAGCGCAATTTTTTTTGGTCCTACCCACCACAAAAGAGCCATTCCAATACTACAAAATATCAATTGCCCATAACCATGTTGATTCTTTTCTTATCGATATGCTCCTATCAGTTTGGATCTTTTTTGCACTTGCTATATTCTTACCAATGAATACTCAAACGGAAAGCAACTGCTTGTTAAATAAGTAAATCTTTAAATAAATAAATAATATGGAATCACTGAGTTTTGAAGATCTTCCCAATTTTGACAAAGGTTCATCAAAAATGCACCTCACACACTGTCCATGATACCTAGAAAGTCTCTTTTCTTTGCTATCCATTTCTGTTATTTGATCTCATCTCAATGTGCTGAATTCCAATTCTCCCCATCCCTACACTCTCCTAAAAGGTAAAATTATAATCTTCTACTGTCTCCTACCCGAGCCCATGAATGTTATGTACAAGCACTGCTCATCCATGCTTCCTCCCTCAGATTCTCTGGTAAGGTCTGGACAGCTTGGTGAGTCCACATCATTCCTAACAACTATGTCTTATGCTTCCCTAGATCATGAAACCCAAAACATAATAGCATGCTCAACAAGGCTCTTTGCAATGATGTTGAATATTACTATTCAGCCAAAGATAAAGGAGGAGTTTCCAGGCAATGTTTTTATTCCTACTTCTGCTTATAAAAGTTACAAATATACTGACCTGCACAAGAGAACCTTCCCAAAGTTTCCATTGACTCAGAGAAGCTATGTTTCAAGTAGCTCACACAGTACAATTTTCACAACTCTAGGACATCTGAACTATTATTTCCAGTTCTAATTTTCACCAAGAAAAGCTAGGATTGTTCTCTTGGGCTCAGCTCAATGGCTCAAACGCCTAATCCTTCTTCTTGGAAGCATTGGGACTCCATGTGTGTTCCTGTCCTGGCTACTCCACTTTCTGTCTGGCTCCCTGCTTGTGGCCGGGAAGGACGGATGGCCCAAAGCTTTGGCATCCTGCACCCACGTGCAAGACTAAAGGAGGCTCCTGACTCCTGGCTTTGGGTTGACTTGGCTCTGGCGATTGAAGCCAGTTAGTGGGAATGGGCCAAGGAATGGAAAACATTTCTCTCTGTCTCTCCTTTTCTCTGCAGATCTGTCTTCCAATAGAGATAAGTAAATCTTGAAGAAAAAAAAAAGAAGAAGAAGAAAAGAAAGGCTGGGGGCAGCACAGTAGCCTAGTGGCTAAAGTCCTTGCATTGCACACGCCAGGATCCCATACGGGTGCCCATTCTATTCCTAGCAGCCCTGCTTCCCAATCAGCTCCCTGCTTGTAGCCTGGGAAAGCAGTACAGGAATGCCCAAAGCCTTGGGACTCTGTACCCATACGCAAGACCCAGGGGAAACTTCAGGCTCCTGGCTTTGGACCAGCTCAGCTGCAGCACAGCTCTGGCCATCACAGCTGCTTGGGAAGTGAATCAACAGACAGAAGATCTTCCTCTGTGTCTCTCCTCATCTCTGTATATTTGACTTTCCAATAAAAATAAAATAAATCTAAACAATGTTTGGGTTGGGGAAGACTCAGATTTTCACTGATTAATGCAGTCAAATATGTAAGGAATTGCAGCCCAAAGATAAATAGACATAACATCTTCCAAAGTTTGGCTATGGACCAATGAATCTACTTTGTCTTACATTGGAATGATGAATGCTATCTCCATATCCTACCAAAATCTCACAAACTATATATAAGGATTGGATGGCATATGTAAGATAAGAAAATGTTTAATACAAACATATAATGCATCTTTTCTGAGCATCTGTATGAAGAACTTGGAAATAAAATTCTGTCACTTGAATATTACAAACATTTAGTAAAATCCAACATTAAGATGCTCTCAGGATGTGTGTATATATCCACAGGTTTACTCCAACTGATACGAGAAGAAATTATCTTGGCTGAAGATCTTGAAAAAAGCTAGGCACCCTTTTCTTTGAGTAGCTCTATTTTAAAAGTCTACAATTCAGATTGTCTTTAAGCCTACAATTCAATGAAAATAATGTCTGCTTTAAACAGCAACTTCCTCTGAAATACACTCACTTTTTTAAATATAGAAAATAATCCTGTCTGGCTGAGTGATCTTCACTTGGTGAACAAACTTTCCATCCTGAAACTTAACTATGTAGAGGCCTGTATTTCTCATGTGCCATGTGACAGAAATATTTATGATTGAATATTTGTTTCCCATTAAGACAAGTTCCCCTTAAGCAAGAAATTCAACATTTCATATTTTACAGGTCACCTACATTTTTTCTTCTTGGAGTCAAATTCTTTGACCTGACATACTATTCCAAAACAAAAGCAGCAAGACGAGAGTGCGACGTATGGAATACTGAGATCCTGGAGGCCTTCACGTGGAAATGAATTTTTCCTTACATTGATGAAATAAAGTTAAAATGAAATGAATCCTTAACCAATGATGGTATAACAATTATAGGTAGTAAAATCTTTATTGACAAACTTAAATACTGAAAATGTTCTGTAACATGTTCAATACATTATTGGCAAATTACAACATTTAGGAAAATGCATCATTGAAAAAAAACATATATAAGCTACTCCAAACAGTTGCCAAAATAAAATGATGCAAAAGATACAAAAATAAATATAATAAATAATTTTTAGATTTTACTCACCAACCATAATTGAAGACTCGCAATGATAGTAACCATTACTTTGTTTCTTCTTCTGCATGGAGCAAAGATCTACACGATGTAACATTTCTTCTCCAAATTTGTGGCTGAGAAATTTTTCATATAATTCAGGATCTATTTTTTTCACACCCTTGAAATAACAACAAAAAATCACATCAGTCAATCATCTCAGTCCCACAGACAGCTCATATCTATATCACCTTCTGAGATTCAGCAACTACATTTTAATATACCGTACAACCCACTGGCACTGGAGAATGAATACTACAAAGCTGTTGTAAAGTTATTTTTAAAGTCTCCCTTCCTAGCCTAAGTTGCATTTTTTAAAAAAAATCAATAATGGGTTTTGATTTTAAATTTGGCAGCATTCTGAACTTGACACATTTTAGTCTTGAAAAATTATTAAGCTTATTGTGTTAAAATTCAATATACCAGGGATTGGTGAAATGGCTCATGTGGCTAAATCCTCCCCATGCACGTACCAGGATCCCATACAAGTGATAGTTCGTGTCCCAGATGCTCCACTTCCCATCCAGTTCCCTATCTATGGCCCGGGAAAGCAGTGGAGGATGGCCCAAGGCCTTAGGTTACCCTGCACCTGCATGGGAGACCTGAAAGAAGCTCCTGGCCCCTGCCTTCTGATTGGCTTAGCTGCAGCTGTTGCAGCCTTTGGGGAGTTAACAAGTAGATGGAAGATTTTTCTGTCTTTCCTTTACTCTGTAAATCTTCCTTTGCAATAAAAAATAAATAAATCTTTAAAAAATGAGATACCAAGGAAAGCAAAATCCATCTATATTTGCAATGAAAAAAACAGATGAACATTTTTAAAGTGATGTAGATCCTAACATTTCAGAGCGCAGAAAATGTTCTAGTAAGACAGATGTTAACTGTCAACCTACACATATAGGAGTTACCTGAAAGACAAAGGCTACATGAAATAGAACAGGGAAAATCAGTGGATCTTGCAGGTTCTTCTCTATCTGTCTCTCCTTATTTCTAGTGTACTTTCTTAGCAGGAACAACCCATTTTGAAAACAAAATTACAGTGAGATGTCCCAGGTATATCTGTATTCTGCAACTCATGGGGAAGAATTTTGCTACCACTCCTGTTTCACACAATGGCCTTGCAACTCAGCCTCAGACTCCCATTCTGTGAGATGTTGGTGATGAAAATGTGCCTCTCCCCTTTTAATTCACAAAAACTCAATGGAGACATAAGTATCAAACATAAAATCACTCTGAACCGCTACTACAATTTTGTTACATTTTACATTTTCTACATAAATACTAAGTATCTTTTCACTGTATATGAACATGGCGATATCTCAAACATTATTTGATCATTAGTTTTTTAACTTTAAATATGGCAGGTCAGTAAATATAGATGTATGAAGTCTCTCTGTCTCCAAATACTGTAGGATATGACCCTATCATCACAAATTATTTATTGAATTTTTTACTGTTGGACACTTGGGTTTTCCTTTCTGTTTTACATTATATATTTTATTTTTTTTAAAAAGTGTTCCATGTTTCATGTTTTACATTATATACTTTATTTTTAAAAAGTGCTCCAGGTCGCCATCTCAGTCAAGGGAACTCCTAATCGCTCGGGATAGAAGCCTTGAGATTATGCTTGCTTCCCCCCCTCTCAATTCACATATAATCAAAATCATGTTGGTTTCACCTTCAAAATACGCCTAGGTTTTTTTTTCTACTCCACTGTTACTTCTGACTGATGACCTCTGAACTGGATTATAATGACTTCCTGTCTTCCTATTATTGCCTCTTCTACAGCAAGCTGATAATAGAAAAACACACGGCAGATGAATTTACTCTTCTAGAACCTTCCAAAGCAGGAACGACCCCCTAATAGCCTGCCATGTACTGCCCTGCCCATTCCTTGACTTTCCAGCCCCAATCTCCTGCCACTGTTGCCCCCTCCCTGGCCTCCTCACTATTCGTTGAACATGCCAGTCACAAGCCACCTCACTATCTTCATTCTGGCTGCTCTGTTCCCTGTGTCTTAATGTGCTTTGCCCTCATTTCCATGGATGTCTTGCTCATACATTAAGGTTTATTTTGCATTTCCATCCCAAAAGTTACTCCCAAATGCTTGCCTCTCTTTTTTGTATCCATTTACACATATTTCCCCATAACATTCACCATCTCCTAAAAGAACATGTAATTTACTTATTTATTATGCTTATTTTTCATTATCTGTCTGTTGCTATTAGCATGCATTCTCTACAAGGGTAACAATGTCTGAGTTTTAGTCATCTCTGGTGCCTAGAAGAATGCTTGTAATGAAATTGTGCTAAATAAATAACTATCGCAAATGGCAAGTCTCTTTGTGAGACTTTACGAGAGCTGACCATATCAAAATTTGCTAGAGTTCAATAAGGATGTAACTAAGCATATTTCTTTTGGTTCATTCAGTTCAAACTGCAACTCAGCCACCCCTGAGCTATGCAGATTTCCCTTATCTGTAAAATGATGTTGACAGTAGTCTCTATCTCCAAAGGTTGTATGGGTTAAACAAGTGACTTACAAAAGTCTTTGAAAGAGTGAAATATAATAAATGCTTATTTGTACACATAAAGACATACACACATACATCACATATGCTAATAGTTTAAAATCTGTGGGAAAAAATTGTAGAAATGCATACAATGAAAAAAAGCATATGTGTATTTCAAAATTTTAGCTTCAAAATAAACTTGCATTCTAACTCCACTTTTATATAAACTTTGAGAAGAACTCTCATATGTCCATGTGCACATACTGTATTATTTCAGTTAGTGGAAAATGGAATTAAGGGTAAAGTTGATATCCTGGTGTTCAAGATGTCCTGGAGTACTGGAACCTGATATCCAACTTCTACTCTAATTCTAGCTTCCATTAACGTGGATCCTAAGATGCAATGGTGACAGCTCAGTTGGGTACCTGCCACATGGTACACATGGTTTGTCAACTCCCAGCCTTGGCATAAACGCAGCCTCAGCCCAATCAGCGGCTGTCAGCGTTTTGAGTGCCCTTTCTGTGTTCTCCCACTCTGTGCAACTCTCAAACCAAAATAAATAATATAGGCTAACAGAGATGAAAGAAATGTTTAAATCCATGCATATATATTCTTATAGTATGTTATACTTATACTTATGTTATTCTTATACTATATTCTTATAGTATTTTTCAGTGCTTTCGCATGTGTGGGTTTTGAGAGGAGGGTTTTACAGTGGGGACTGAAGGAGTCCTTCCTTTAAAGAAGACAGAAGAGATAACTTGGCAAACAAGGAAGGGCCTTGCCAGCAATGATATTATATTCTCCATTTCAGTTTAATGAAATACATTTATTAAAAGTAAGAAATAAGGAAAACGTGGGAGTTCCTGTAAACCACTCGGTTAATTAACCCGTGTGGGATCCCGATGCGTTCAAGCCGAGGACTTTAGCCACTAGACCACACCGTAGGGCCCAATACTCATTTTTAACAAAACGTAAGCATCAACTATTTTGCACGAAAGCTTCACAGATGACTTCTAATTGGAATGTTAAGAAATTCATTTTGCTTAGCAAGTGAAATAGAATTAATTTCTTTACTCAAAATGTATAGAGAAACTTGTGGTTCAAAAACACATAAGGCCTTATAAAGCACTAAAATCACATTCCCCAATGAAACAAAAATCTTCACTAATGAAGAAAAATACACATATGTGTATATATATTCATATTCATATTTTACCATTAGCATTATCTTTATTTCTCTGGAGAAATTCTTATATGGCAGTATTTCTTTTCTTTTCTCTTAAAGTCTATTTGTCTTATCATCTGGCAGCAGTAGATGATTTTCTTTTATAAAAAAGGATTATAGGGGCCTAGCAACAAAGTCCTTGCCTTGAAATTGCCAGGATCCCATACGGTTGCCAGCTCTAATCCCGGCAGCTCCGCTTCCCATCCAGCTCCCTGCTTGTGGCCTGGGAAAGCAGTCGAGGAATGCCCAAAGCCTTGGGACCCTGCACCGTCATGGGAGACCTGGAAGAGGTTCCTGATTCCTGGCTTCAGATTGGCGCGGCACCAGTCACTGAGGTCAACTTGGGAGTGAATCAACAGATGGAGGATCTTCCCCTCTGTCTCTCCTCATCTCTGTATATCTGACTTTGCAATAAAAATAAGTAAATCTTTTTTTTTTAAAAAAAGGATTATAATTCTGAAACAATAAATGACTATATCAACATTGGATCTCAGAGTAATGTTAATAAAGTTCCTATTTAATGATTGAATCCATTGAGCTATCAAAACAGTCACAAAGATATCCATCAAGGTCCCACATAAAGCTAGAGAAGCTGAGTGTCAGCATAATTTTGAGACTTGGGATCCAAAATTATTGTCTCTTCCCTTTCTCATCTTTCTTTCTTTCTTTGTCTTTATTTGTTCCTTCCTTATCTCCTTCCTTTCTTCCTTTTTTTTATTTTTAAGATTTAATTTTGGGGCCCAGCACGATAGTATAATGGTTAAGGTTCTCACCTTGAACATGCCAGGATCCCATATGGGTGCTGGTTCTAATCCCAGCTGCTCCACTTCCCATCCAGCTCCCTGTTTCTGTCCTGGGAAAGCAGTCGAGAATGACCAAAGCCTTGGGACCCTGCACCCGCGTGGGAGACCTGGAAAGAAGTTCCTGGCTCCTGGCTTCGGATTGGTGCAGCAACAGCTGTGGTGGCCACGTGGGGAGTGAATCATCGGACAGGAGATCTTCCTGTCTGTGTCTCCTCCTCTCTGTACATCTGCCTTTCCAATAAAATAAATAAATCTTAAATTAAAAAGATTTAATTTTTTTAAAGATTTATTTTTATTATTTTTTTTTTATTGGAAAGGCAGATATACAGAGAGGAGAGACAGAGAGGAAGATCTTCCATCCGATGATTCACTTCCCAAGTGAGCACAACGGCCGATACTATACCGATCCGAAGCCAGGAGCCAGGAGCCTCTTCCGGGTCTCCCACACGGGTGCAGGCTCCCATAGCCTTGGGCCATCCTTGACTGCTTTCCCGGGCCACAGGCAGGGAGCTGGATGGGAAGAGGGGCCGCCGGGATAAGAACCAGCGCCCATATGGGATCCCGGGCATTCAAGGCAAGGA